TTCTACACTCTTCCTGTTTTTCTCTTTCTCTCTTTCTTTTCCTTTTGAAAATAAAATGCTTTGATATAATACACGTACAAATTTTACATATTGCCGAATGTAATTTAAATAGAGTTAGCACAAAAATAAAACACACAATGTAACTCTAAATAGAAAAAAAGGGATATCGTATTTCACATCTTAGTTTTTATTCTTGTAATTTATTTTTGTAATTTATTCATATGTAAAATACCTAATAAAAATGCTGAAACGTATATCATACATCATATCGCGTGAAAGTAACATGCGTCGTAAAGTTCAATTATAACTATGACAATCTGATCGATCGATTGCAAGATTACATTCAATCGTTTTAATTCATCGTCTTATCTGACTTTCGTATATTTTCAAATATTTCTTTTTATTTCTTAAGATTATTTCTTAAATTATTTTTTGAAAGTACAGCATAATTTTTTGTATGCACAGTACGTTTAACATATTACAAAATACAATTTTTTATATATTGGTGCAAAAATATAACTATAAAGATCTTTTTTCAATTTATCACTAACGTAAACTTTGTTGGTAGAGGAAAAGTGTTTTAATAAGACTAAAATATCCTCTAATTTTTGTGTTACTTGTTCGTTTTACACTTCCACACCTTTCACACCTCCCCCTCCCCTTTTTCTCTTACACATTCTCTCTTTCTCTCTGTTTCTGCATTTTTTCTATCTCGATCCAATATCCAAACGAAGGATACGGCTTTACAGAAAGAAGGAAAGATATCGGTTGCATTTCATTGGCCTCTAAGTAGAAAAGTCCATTAAAAGCATTCCCGATTCACGTCCATGACTTGCGTTGGCGTTTACGTGGATGGCGCAACGTCACTACTGTGAAAGGAATGACCGCATTCGAATTATGAATATTTTTCATCATTGGGGCTTTTCAATATAAACTTCGATTGATCTGAACATTACTCGTTGATGCAAGTGTAATTCCGATCGGAACAAGGCAAATTTTTATAATCATGCTTGAAAGAATCATATCAATGCAATAAATACTGATATGATAATAAATAGAAAATATTGCAGAGAGAGAGAGAGAGAGAGAGAGACGATACAATATTGTTCAACAGCCAAATTCTCTCCGAAGTGCGATAGTAGTATTTTCTACAGATTTTTGAACGGTAAAAATCTCCTTTTGATATAGATTTAATAGGAATTGGCAACGTGAAGTATAATAAATTAACAGCAATAATTTCCTAAAGTTCAATGATTATAAATTCTAGCACAGATCGCTGCATTTCTGGAGGTACTTGTGTACATACACCTCAAATAATACTATTGCACGCGCAACAACTTCATAGTATGAATTATTAATTAGTAAATGCTCTTTACACATTCATTAATTATTATTGCTATAGCTATGTGTGATTATTGATATAGCAATCAGGGTTCTCGTTACATCAAAATTTACCACATACACTGCTGCGGAAATGCATACTCATGTTTAATGCATAACAAGTATTCGCAGCTAATCTTTGTTTCTTTGTTTCTCTGAAGTAATGATGATTTGTCTACTCACCGATAAAACGAGTATCGATCACACAAAATGATTAAGTATAAATGTAACTAAAGTTGGGAGATTGCATTACCTCTCCTGCATTACAAAATAAAGCATAAATACAATTTATAATGCAAATTATAATTGAAAATAATTATACTTATCAGGCTATGCATTGAAGATTGAGATTGAAAGATTGAAATTTGATCAATCAAAACAAAAGAGATAAAATTTCTTTTTCTCATTGATGAAATTTCAATTTTTTATTTTCAGTCTTAATCTTCTATGCGTAGTCCGATTTCAGCTATACTGATATTAAAAAGGCATCAATAAGTAATGAGACAGAAAGAAAGAGAGAGAGGGAAGAAGAGAAGAAATATATATATAAAATATATGATTTCCATAAACATATTTTCCTCACGTAAGTGTTATAAAACGTTTACGTTCATGCATACATTGTGAGAAATCCTATTACTTTATATACCCCTGTTTACATGATCTGGAAGAAAATATTTGCAGCGCGACGATAAAACATAGCAACGTGACTACTGGTCGTAATTAATTACAAACCAGCAGCGAAAAAACGATCTATCACCTAGAGTTCGTAATTACAATGAACTACGATTATTTCGCGATTCTAAAAGAATTTACGACAATAAATTGGAGTCCTTGATTTTTATTGTAAAACTTTTTAATTAAAAATGGTAGGTTCTTTAAAAAACCGTCATTTTAGAAAGATTCTGACTAATATAACATATAAGACTAATTTTTTTAGTAATTATTTATTAACATTATTTGTTAAATACGTGCATTTCATATCGTGTATCAGAATTGTAATTTGGTATGTGAAGAAAAACATTTTTACTATGAATATATATAAATATATTAATTATATATATTCGCGAATAAACTTTATGTAGAAATTTATGCTTTATATAAGCATAAATATCTACCATATTTATATAGACGATTTATATTATATTTACATATGTATATGTATACAATTCATGAGTTCTCTACGTCTTTGTATTATACATTATATTATATATTAAATAATTGATAATTTATTACTTAAACTAATAATAAACAATATGTCTATTAAATAAGATATTTCATTCTAGTATATCTTCTAATTGTAAGATTATAACAATAAATTATTTCAGTACGTATTTCTTTTTGCGCGTCGAATGGCTGGGCACCGCATTAAATCTACATTAATGCGACTAACTAAATCTCATTGGGAATTCTTGTTCCGATAGTATGGCAGAAGATAGGTGGGGAAAAGGGAGAATAGGTCGACGATGTTACAAGGAGGCACTTTTGATCGAGTATCCTCTCGAAAACACTCCATAGAATCGTTGAAAGCTTTGACCAGCTCATGTTGCGAATGTTACAGGCACACCCGGTACATTACACACATATATATTTCACACTTACAATAGATGCATATATCTATATATATAGGAACAATATATGCATTGAATGCAACAGGATCTACTTCAGAGATCATACGCTCGGAAGAGTGCATCCGACTCTCTCTGAGAGAACCTGGTAAAGAATGGGAACGACGGATAAAAATACAGCCTCGAAAGGAGAAAGGGATTTAGACAAGTTCATATTTATTATACTTAACTGGCTTATTTCCGTTTTGGAACTTTGCCACACAATGTTCGTTAACGATTAACAAAAGATATTTCTTTTTTTATTATATTAGTCCAATATTTTTTGTTGTAGCAATTATTATTATTACTTAAAGTTTTGACAGGGAAGTTTGAATCGTCCTATAGATTGGTTTATTTCGCGCAATCATAATAATACATGATATTAATTAAATTAATAATGTTCTGTGAATTAACTGAACTCAACATTGTAAACCAAAGCTACAATTTGAATATGTTCTTATTTACAATTAATTATTTGTTAAAAAGGAAAAAGAATCGTTTATATATGTCTTTAGTCTTTACCTTGTAAGTGTAATTTCCAACTTTATTTCAATATTCACAAATGCATACATTGTAAAGTTTGAAACGTGAAGCTATTACTTAATATATTTAATGTTCAATGGTCGTTTATCGTAGATTGCGACGATATTGACTGTATGACCATTAGCGAATGAATATCCGCGTTTTATATAGCTAAATCATTAGACCATCGTCTTCGTTCAAGATTTAAGTACCTAGAATTGGTGGAAATAACGATTGTGTCCTTATTCGATGACACACACACCACATAACTCTTTTTGCATCGCTCTTAAATTCCTGCATCGCAGTATCAACTCTCAAGCATACGGTACTTTTCAATTTTATGAATCTTACTCACGTATTCACGCCGCAAAAGATCATTTGCGAATTGGAATATCATTTAATGATTAATCAAGTAATCAGTGTCACTAAATATTTTTTTATTCGCGAAAGAAACTTTTTTTTATATACGTACCTTATCTTAAGCATGACAAAAATCATTATTGCGATCATTAACATTGGCTGATTTAATTGCGATAAGCTATTACTAATGAGTCATCTATTATAAATATATATAATTATTATTAATAAGTTGATATGATTAATTATGGTTGTTATATGGATGGTTATTGTATTGTATATATTTTCTATTAAGATATGTAAAATAGGAATTTTTTCGTTGACAGAGAACATAATTGTAGTCGCTGTTTTAAATATTGGGCTTTTATTTTTATTAGCAAATAAATCGATGCTCATTAAGCGCTAATTATACGACGACTAATTAGATAAGTACGGCAAAGCATGGCTCGCCTTACATTCTTCGTCCTGCTCTGCTTTTGCGAAAATCCATTGGATCCGAGCACGCTGTATCTCCGTTGTTAATTTCCACTTATAATTTATCAAGAAACTTTAAATGGACTCTAGCGTACATTGAAAAACTTATAGGACACCCATTAGCTAAGTAATATAGGTAAAAGACAAAGAGAGAAAGAAAAATCTGTCTCATCATAAAACTTTTCATTATATTCGCAATATAAATGTAATATTGAAGATATTCACATTAGTATAAAATCGCAATTTGTAGAATTAAAGTAAAAAGAAATGTGATAGTTAATTTACCTCCTTATACTTCAAAAGTGATAATTAGAAATATCAAGTTTTCTAGAAAAAAAGGAGAAAACTACTCTTTGATAGAAAATTATTAAATGATTAATCAAATAATATGAATAAAAAATAAACTTTTTTAAATTTGATCATTTGTATTTTACAACTCTTAAAAAAACTCGTTTTTTAAATTGTAATTCGAAAATTATACGTTTCTTTGAAGTAAGAGAGCAATATGTATAAGCGTTAAATGGTACGAGAAAATCGCGAACAAAAGATACTGACTTAAAATCTGACTCAAAGGGAAAAAGCGAGATGAGGAGAAATATATGTTTTCGTGGCACATTTTATCATACAGAAGAATAATACTTCGTCTTTTCTTTCTATTCACAGCTGACAGCAGTTTTCTATTAGCAAACGCCCAAATCGTCGACTTCCCGATCGTCTATTGCAACGAAAGCTTCGTCAAGATCTCCGGCTACAATCGTGCAGAGGTACGAGTACGTTATTTGATACTAATAATTAAATATACGAAATTTTATTTATGTTTTCTTCAATCTTTTCATTCTCACCAGTATTATTGTGTTAATACTTGCGTATGATTGTATTTACATAATACAATGCAGGAAATGTGTAACATTCGTAAAATTTAAACATTGTGATAATATTAATTAATTAATTAGTTAATTACATATTACGCCAAGCGTCACAAAATTTAATTTGTCAGATATTCATTTAATTTATTCGATACAATGACTACCAATTATCCGGACATGGATTATCAAAATATTGATTTCCTATAATAATTTCAATGTTTAAATAGGAATATTATACAGGGTGAGTTAAATACTCTAAAAGATTTTAAGAGTTAATTCTTCATATTAAATCAAGAAAATTTTATATAATTACACGTTTATATAAAATTTTCGTTTTGATTTAGTGTAAGCGAATTACCCCTTAAAATCTTTCAGAATAGCCAGAAAGTTTGCAGATTATCGCTGTGTCGTGATCCATTTTTAATAAATTTTTAATAAATTTTTAATCTTTTAGAGTTATTATTCTGTATATAATAATTCACAATATATTAAAAATTACTTTACTTATATTTGTTTTAATATGCATTTTGAGAAAGCTTTATTTAAAAAGCTGATTAATAACAAGTACTCGTATATTACTTTTCCTCAGTGATACACTTGTTATTTAATTTATCTACATATACATACATATATGGAGACGAATTATTACTAACATATTTTGTGCTTGATATGTGTGCTTTATGCATGTTTACGCTTTTTTTCTTGAATTATGCAATTGGAATCAACAGGCATTGATATCGTTACGTTTGTGTCGAATCTTCTAGAGCTTTGGTAAAGATCCAATAAATATTACATATACAACATTGTCATATATTCCGGAATATCCTCGATATTTATCTGGTAATACAGTATGAGCAATGGTTTGCTTATCTTTTGTCATTTTTCATCCTCTAAAGAACGAGAGTACTATAAGGAGGGAGTGGATAACGCGATTTAGCAACTAGCGAGTTCATTCATTGACATCAATTTATTACAGTCATGCTTCAGGATAAGAAATCAGAAGATTATGTGCAAAGCAAAAAGTCAGCTTCGATATAGAATTTTCAGTTAAAGATTAATTAATTGCTATTTTAACTAACTGATCATTCATTCAACAATCTACACTCAGAATTTCATAATTTGTTATTTATTTTAAGATACATTATTGGACATTTATTATTATTGCTGCAAAGAATCTTAAAATTTTTATAAAACAAAATAATAATTGGTATACGTATTAATGAGTTAAACTAAATTATATAATAGCAACTAGAATTTTGTTATAAACATCGAGTACACGATGAAGAGAGAAAGTAAACATTATTTAATTATAATTTTTCCTTATTTATTAATTTGATTGTCTCTTTTATATTATTGTATTATACATTATATTATATTATATTATATTTTATATAATACATTCACATTTGATTGCATGATCATTATATTTATTGCAGTTTTAAAAGATTTATTTAAATATATATATAACAGATTTTTTTTTAAACATATAGTTATATATATATTGTAAAATAATCATATCCGGAGGTTAAATATCAGGACGTAGAAAAATAAAATCTTGTTAAATAGAACTCGTAAACTAATGGCCGAGAAACACCCAAAAATAGCTTTTCACACTTACATTGGACATCTTGAATTATTTGATTCGAATGTGACTCGGTTAACTGCGCTCCAGAGTCTCGACCAAAGTGACAACGTAGTAGCACAAGCTGTAACCACCTCGTTTCTGTAAGACTCCTACTGTTCCAATCCTATTGTTTGAGAAGATACATGGATTTGGGGTTTGCAAACTCCATTACTGGAAACCGGATTGAGGATGCTTTCGTGGAAGGTTTACAGGATGAAGAACGAAAATGATGGCGAAGAGTACATTCCGCGCATTTTTGGTCTCGGTCAAGTATCATGCAGCGAATATATATTATATTATCATTTTACATGAAAAATGAAACATGCGCTTGAATGCAAAAATAATTGGACGAATTTTAAAACTTTTGTAGTTATTCAATTAATTTTTTTTTTAAAGTAATAATTTTACTTGGCAAATTGAATAAAAATCCATTGTTCGTGACCCTTTTGCTCAATTATCTCAATTCTGTTTATGTAGTTACGCAATATTATTAACAAAAATTTAGTTTTTAATCTTATTATCTTCAGTTGTCTTCAAGATATAATTAGATTGATATACAACGATACGATTGTAGAATTTATTTCTTTTTTTGGAAAATCTCCAAATGATGTTCTTTAAAATCATGCCTCTATGCTCATATCGATCAACAATATTACGACCGTGCCTTTCTCTTTTTATTCGTTCTTTAGAAGTATATCTTTTTTATTATAGATATGGAAATCACGAAAAAGTACAGCTAACACAATAGACTGTTACGGCCTACAAGAAATATGTGCTATTTCGTGTCATTTTATCGCACATCTGCATGCTATACGAAACGGTAGATACGAGCAAAACAGAGATGGAAAGTAACGCTGGAGCAAAATATATTTCAATAGCGTTTAAAAGAAATCCCTTTAATGTCAGTTTATTGATAAAGTTGAAGGCGCGGAAATGAAGTGCAAAAGTTTCATATTTTTTTCCATTAAAAGTTTTTGCCGTTTTATGTATTAAGCGGATATTGTTTCTTTGAATATCATTCCTTTTACACAGCTTCACGAAATTGTGTTTAATTAAAAAATCGTGTTAGATTAAAGAATTGCGCCCATTAAAAACACGACGAGTACGGATTTGATTGGGATCAAGTTATTTCATTCCTGTTGCATCTGCAAACCACAAGATTTAAAGGTCAGCACTACGGGATTAATAAATCTGTTTCGAGGTCGAAAAATACGATATCACATACATATGTTCGATAGCCTGCACGAACGGCACAAACCGTTTCTCGCTTTCGTCGACATTTGATAACATATCGGATCAACCTTTATCGACAATATTGATCCACGAGATCGCTATTTAAAAAAACGCTTTATTCACAATGGCTTTTGTTTACAGCATTTAATGTGCAATCGTTAGTACCGTATTATACATTACATAATTTTCATATACGTACACAAATTTGAATGCAATAACATTGTTAATTGGGAAAATAATTATTTATGTGAAAATGATTTATCCGTCAAACTCTCGAGTTACAGTCGTATCTCATAATTGCACTTTTTAACTGCCAATTTTTTTTTAAACAGCGTTAAACTATCTCTGAACATGATAATGTAAACAAAATTCGAATAACAGATACTCTATTTTTTCGAAAACTTAGAAATTTTGTATCATTGAATATAACAAATAATTTAAAAAAATGGCAAATACGAGTCACACGTAATTGTTAGGATACAGACATAATTTATAAAATAATTTTATTTTTGAACTTTAACAACTACATATGACTGATTTGCTGTTCTTTTAATTATTTGTCATTATTGCAAGTCTGAGTTAGTTAGTATTGAACTATAACTCACGGTCTTTATACAAAATAAGTACGGAATGTTTATTAATAATATTATATAATAGGTAAATTGTGTTATAATGAATTTTTTATCTATAATTATGTTATCATTTGCCCTATGTACATATCTTATATTTATATTTATAACGTATGTTATACACGCATATATACTCGTATATATGATAAATGTTTATACCAATTAGTAGATAGTTAATGAACACGACCCAATTATTGGATAAAATAACAAAAATTTAAATGTTAAGCTTTTAATGATATGTATGACTTTATTCTAGCGAAAATAAAGTGTAAAATAAAACAAAAAGGAACATAAGTCGAATATAAAAGGAAAGTAATAGAAGCGTAAGCAAACGTTCTAAGGAATGTAGATTGGAACAATAGAACATAAACGAAGCGTTAAAATGCTTCGTAAACGCTTTACGCTTCTTTTACGTTCCATTATTCCAATTTACGCTCTTTAGAACGTTTGCTTACGTTTACTTCTGTCACCCTCCTTTATGTTCGACTTGCACCTTTTGTCTTGCGCTTTGTTTTTGCTAGGATAAATAGAATCATTGTTTATAGAAATTTAATAAGATGAATTATTTAAAGTTGTACATATCATTAAAAGCTTAATATTCAAAATTCTTATTATTTCGTCTAATAATTAGATCATATGACATGTCCACTATCTAGTTCTAGTACATTTACCTTACTGTATACAACCTTCTGTAAATAAAAAAAAATAAACTTTGATGAATATTTCATACTTTCTCTTTATGTTTCCAGGTTATGCAAAAGTCATGTCGTTGTGGATTCATGTATGGGGAACTAACAGACAAGGAAACGATTGCCAGAATCGAAGAATGCCTCGAGGGTCAGATTCACGATCAATTTGAGATCTTGCTGTACAAGAAGACCAGTGAGTTATTACTTTTATCAATCTCCGCATGAAAGCTTAAATGTGATGTTCGTGCCTTTTTACGATTATCGATGGTTTTCAATGTAGCGTCCTTGGTTTAGTACAATATTTAATATACAGAAAGGAAGAATGATCGGAATGAACGTTCGGAAGATACAAATCTAAAGTTTTAGACCTTTTTGCTCTAACGTATAAATTTATGTTTATTCGTTTGTTTATTTCGCGTGTTTATCGACGATAAAGCCAGTGAGCATGTTTGAGATAAAAAAAAAGGAAATGATTTTTATGAACAATCTTATTATATAACATAGGCCAATTTAAAAGAATAAAATTATTTGCTTTCTGCTTATCTAAAACTGGACAAATCGTCATAGTATTATGCAAGAGGATGCAATTTTCAATTTTGACGAAATTTACATGATGTAATGAAAACCTGTCAGTGGCGAGTACGTTTTTCTCTATGCGTTTATCACGCAGGGTAATTGGATAGCTGTACAAAAAGGTAGTTGGAAAGAGAAAAAACTACTCGCGGAATCTCGACCAGGGAGTTATTGCGCGAAATTTGCATGCGCGTGTTTATCGGGCCAGCATCTAGTTTCCTATTGCGCCACCATGCACTTCATGCATTGTGCACGGTGCGGAAACGTTAGAGGTACCCGGCAATCAACCGAGTCTGTGTATTTAATGGAAAACAAAACGCCTCCGCTTAACGTAAGGGAACCGACGTTTTGCCAGCGTAACAGCGCCGTTGCGTTAATTGGGATATGTACGTTGCTGGAAACGTGCAATTTATAGCTTTTTCGTGTAACAATAAACATGTGAAAAAATAGTTGCGTTATTTTTTTTTTTTCAAGAATACAAAATACAAATCTCTCTCTTAATTTCTTTTAACTTATAAGCAAACACGCACGCGGAAATTGAATTAATAATTGCTATTCATTTGACATTTGTCTCACTGCTAGTAAAGTGAGATGGAATATAATATTTATTGAATTTAAATTAGGAAAATTTAGGTGTTGTTTGTCATTTTTTTTCCTTATTATTATATGTATACTTTGCACTTCAAGGATTATAAGTATAATGAGAATATATTGCACAAAAAGCATTTTCTTAAATTTATACTTTACTTAATTAAGTGTACATTTTTATAAAGCACATTATAGAAGCATATATGATACAACGTTTGCAACAACAATGGCTGATAGCGAAACTGTCGATTCTCATTTCGCTAAAACGCCTCGAGGCACGAAATGTATCAATGTGCATGTACAATATTTGGTGGAATATCGAAACGTAACTATCTGCATACATCAACGATAAGTTTCGCGTTTCGCTGGTGGTTCTGCCATCATGTTGCATCACCTGACTCTAATATTCGCGTGTTATCTCGTTTCGGAAACTTTCGACGAATATTCGATTATTTTCTCTATAAAAGGAAACACCCTCTATTAATGCACGTACTAAGCATAATAACACAAGATCGTTCTGTTTAAAGGTAGCCCAAGAGGTATGTCTAGCACAGATTCACAAAAGCGTGCTCGCAAATGCCAGTAAGTCACCCACGAATTTAAAATCTATGCAAAGGATATACCATATATACGACAGATATACTTATCACATCAATAATAAACTAAAATTATAGCATTAAAATTTTAATTAAACTTTCTTTTTAAAATATCCACTTTTTTTAATGGAAAACAGCTACATTCCCTTTGTAATCGGAGATAGAACAGAAAGAATATTACCTTGCAATAGCATAATTTACCGATAGTTCAAAAATAGATTACGAACATTATTTTTGTGCTGCTCGTTCGGCGAATCTAAGTACCTTTTTGTCGGAAAACCACGGTCGACAGTTCTTATCGTCGGAAGAGAGACGTGCGGAGATAAATGCAATGACGCTCATTTTTAGCTCTCCGAGAAAGGGGAGGAAGAAAGTCACTCCTCGAGGATTATCAATAATTTACGAGGTTGATTAATTCATATAGGAATAAGTGCTAAAGATTGTAAAAGACAAATTAATTATGTACCATATTACAGGAAACGAAGATTCTTTCTTACAGAAAATTTATTTTTACTTGCATTTTACACAGTCTCTTTCTATAATAGCATAGCGATGTATATATAGTTACAAAGAGTTACATATAATACATTACCGCTCGTAAGTATGTAAGAATGTTTGTGATTTTCTCGCATCTTTCGAAATAAATATTAAATATTTCAATGAAAAAAAAAAATCATAGAGAATTTTTTTTTAAATAGATATATTTTAAAAAGGAAAACTAGAACTTTAAATCTGTGTTTTAGTTTTATTTCTGCGATGTTTTATTCCTAAATGTTTTTTTATTAAAAATTATAAAAAAACAAATTTTTACACAAAAAATTCAATATTGTGAAAAATCGTCATAAATTTTTTCGTTGTAAAAGCATTTTATAGCTCTCTTTAAGATATTTATTTGTTAAATTTTATCCAATGACATTTCATCAAGCTACAGCACTTTGAAAAAACACAAAAAATTTATCAATTTTTAATTTTAATAAAGTAATTTAATAACAAAATATAGATATAAGGATAAAACTAAAACACAGATTTAAAGCTCTGTATTTTCTGTTTAAAATATTTTTTAAAGTTTTTCCACGATTTTTTTCATTGATACTTAACTTTTTGTGAGGTGCGTCACAAGCATTTCCGAACCTATAAAAGATAGCGTGTATGTATATTGTCAGAAAAACCTCGATTTCGACTTATATAATTTTTATCAATATTTTAAAATCGATATTGCAATGTTTTATACAGCATACAATATAAATCAATTTACTTGTACATTTCTTATTGATTAATGTTTATATCTGCAAATTGATGAAAATTTTAAGTTTAAAGGTCAAATTTGATCTATTATCGCGATTTATTATTGATGCAACATCAAATCAACAACATTTTATATTTATAACTTTTTGTCATGTAAATCGAAAATGTATTGATCGTGGAAACTCAATCCAATCCAATTATTACACGTATTATTCTTATTGTTAGTACTTATTAATAAAATTAACTAAGAGAAACGCCAAGTACAGTCTCTAAATTGGAGAATAATATTTTTACACTTTTAAATAAATTTATTTCAAATATATGACTATGAGCCAATTACTTTCAGCTTGCAATCAACTGAAATAACACTAATTTCACAAATTAAATAACACTAATTTCACAAATTAAATTGATTATCGATTCGATGCTACTCTCTAGTATCTTAAAGCTTTTAACACTTTAAACTTTTTTACAAATCGAAACATTTCGGTCGATTCTACCGATTATCTCTTTCTCACATTAACAAATTTTATTTTATTATATCCTGATATTCCACATAAACTCTATAATACCGTTTTCATTTGTTTTCAGTAATGCATAACACGCTCTGTAACAGCGTAACGCATGTTGCCACATAATTACGCCATTTATATTCAAACGTATGATTACCATTCGCATAAGGTTTAATATTGACTAATCAAGATAATTTTGATAGTGTGCGATAAATATACGTATATTATCTCATATATTATATTAGAATTCATAACTTTGAACAGAATATTTTAAATAAGTATTTAATATATTTGTATTAAATAATATAACAATTGCTGAATTTATCATTGAAAACTATACTTCAATGATGAGTTTTCTTTGCCATAATTATCTCGATTAATTATCAAATCTCTTCCTTTTCATTTCGAATTAGTTAAAACCGTAGTTATGCTTTCTCATAGAGATGACTTACACTTTTTATTATTCCTCGGAACATGTTGTCGGTATTTCCGTTGTCGATGTACGTCGTTATCGATATATATAGCTTCCCATATGCCGCTGTCGCTCGACAGGCTTACAAGGTTGCTTAATTAAGCCAGTTGTCGGTAAATATCCACATAGGAGTAGATACAAAATATTATCGAACATTTATATATTACTTGTATTCCCTCGGAGATCCAAAATTTCACCTATGTTTGAATTCCTGTATTTTTTCGTTAATCCGTGATAAAAGAACAACAATAAATTCTAATAAAGTATTGTTAAAATGGAACATTTTTTTAGATTGCGTAAAAATTTGATCAAAAAATAACATAAAGATATTTAAAATGTCAAAAAATATATTTTTATATTCACTGCATTTTTAATATTGCAAACGTATTTTATTACATGTCAAAACGATATATATTTTTGTTAAATTGTTAATATATACTTTTCTCTTTATTACTCAACACATACATTATTTTTTCTTCTTCTTTTTACTTTATTTTAATTGAATTGTATTCATTACTATCATTTATTCGCATGCTCGCATGCTTTACATTACTAAATATCATAAGCAAGTCCCTAATTAGATTCCATTGGCCTGAACTTGCATCCAGGTTCGATCCTGCATGTCGAATATCTGACATTATGGACAAGTGTGACTAGTATTACAATAATTTAATGCATACGATTTATTACTTGGATTGATGTAATATAATTACATTATAAGGACTAAGTATTAACTTAGAAATTTAATATTAGAAAATATATTAAACCTAATTAATTTAACTGAAGTCACGCAACAGCATATGGACGAATGTTTTAATCTTTTATATCTTATTTGTAATATTTGAAGATTTTTTCGCATCGGAGAACATTTTTCGTGTTTTCTCGCAATAAAATATCCAATTTTAGCACTTCATTAAAATATCTTATTTCGACATTTCTCTTGTTATATTAATCGTGGGTTGATTGTATTATCAATTTTTGTTTTTAAAAACTTGTCTAATTTATGAAAAATAGTACGATTAGTTCTTATATTTTATTTTTTCTTCTTTTGCACTTTTATTACTGTATATAGCAGACTACTTTATTGGAATATATCTTTTGACACATGTAGCGTAGATTCTTCTAGATTCCGGCAGCTAAAATGACGACCAGCTGACTCGCTGATTCAATATAGTCTCTGCTAGAAAAATAAAATTTGTAATTTTCTTGCAACTAATAGTGCTTGAAAGAATAAATTAAATATTAGATTATCTTTTTTAATCAACGTTAGCCTTTTTTTACGCTCCATAGAGACACCGTTATGGCTGCTGTTGCAAATAGCGCCCATCAAAAACGAACGAGACCTTGTGGTCTTGTTCTTGCTGACTTTTCGAGACATTACCGCCTTGAAACAACCCATCGAAACGGACGACAGCAAAGGCGGTCTCTCCAAGTTCGCCAAGCTCGCAAGATCAGTCACCAGATCAAGATCGGTTCTAGTTTCTCAGTTCAGTTCCCATCTGCCGGCTTTGAAAGATACAGCTATACCGACTACGACCAAACAATCGCATCTAGGTCATGTAAGTCGTTAAGATGCTTTATACTTATCAAAATTAAAAATCTTTGTCTTTTTATGTTCATGTACCACTTTTATTATATATTTTTTTATTAATATTCAGGTAATTTTTCTATAATATTTAATAAAATATTTTCTTTAAAATATTTTTAAAGTATGTATCTCGATATCCCCTTTCTTACCATGGCTGAAAATATGTATAGTAGATATTATCATTTTAAGTTACATAAATCATTTCAAAACAGTATAATAAATAATGGTAGTATAGCTGTAGTAGTCAATCTATACAAATTTCTATTTATAAATCGATGAAATAAAAACGTATTTTCAATACGTCGACTTCGTCAGAAAATGCAAAGTTAAGAACACATCTGCATGAATTTTTCTTTAAAATCAACCTAGAAAGCTTATGCATTTGAAAGCTCTGGAGTGTGAAAAGCTAATGGAGTCAGACTCGATGTAAGAAAGAGATATCAAATAAAAGAGATATATGATGGATAAGAAATCGATATTTAAACGATAAAAATAATTTGTTCTCTTTGATTTATTTTAACTTATATATCTCTCAGTATAAATAAAATTTATGAAGAAACATAAATACATCTTTAAGTCAACGAATTATATAAATATGTGTATATAAATTTAATATATATGTAAACAAATTATTTTTGATAATTACTTTTTACACAAAAAGAATTCGCTTCTAGATGTGTATGTATTCCGATATTATGATCTTCTTTTAGATGATGTCCCTAAGCGGCGATGTTATGCCACAATACAGACAAGAAGCACCAAAAACCCCGCCACACATTTTATTACATTATTGTGCATTTAAGGCAATTTGGGACTGGATCATTTTGTGTTTGACTTTTTACACAGCCATCATGGTGCCGTATAACGTCGCGTTTAAAAATAAGACTAGCGAAGATGTCTCCCTATTAGTTGTAGACAGTATCGTCGATGTGATATTCTTCATCGACATTGTGCTAAATTTTCATACAACATTTGTTGGCGCTGGTGGAGAAGTGGTATCTGATCCGAAGGTAACTTAAGTTTAAACAAAATTTTTTGTAAGCAATTTAATCACCTTTAAGCAAAAATAAATACTTATATTTTATATTCGTGTATTTAAAATTGTTACAAATCCTATAAATAACTTGTAGTTTTGTGAAATAATTTGCTTATACTAGTAATTTGCTTTCATACTAATAATAAGAATAAGTGCGTAATAGCTATTTTTTCATAATGCAACAATTTGGTACTTTTAGGTAATCAGGATGAATTATCTAAAATCTTGGTTCATCATAGATCTACTAAGCTGTCTACCGTACGATGTATTTAACGCCTTCGACCATGATGAGGATGGAATAGGTAGCCTGTTTTCGGCTCTGAAAGTGGTACGGCTGCTGCGACTCGGTAGAGTTGTACGCAAGTTAGATCGTTATCTGGAGTACGGTGCCGCGATGCTCATTCTTCTACTCTGTTTCTACATGTTGGTTGCTCACTGGCTGGCCTGTATCTGGTACGTCATATTAAGGTGATTTTACCCTGTGTACACACATATTCAAGGTACACACAAGGTGTGTACACACACCTCTCTGACTGAAATATACATATACGTCGGATAATACAATCATTATTGCAATACAACATTACATATTCATACAGAAACGAGGATCACGTGATATTTACTATGTCCGACATGCTCCCACTGTACTACATATATTATATATCTGCTGTTTCGTTATATCTTCAAAATTGAATGTTGACTATATTGTATCGAAGAAAAGAAATTTGATCGGATATGAAACGCCAGTTGCTCTTTATACTTTTATTTACTCTTTTATTAAAAATAATTTTTTATATAAGAGAGAGAGGACGAATGTACAGAAACAATACAAAGTATCGCAACGATATATCCAGTAAATTAATAAAATTTAAGTTAAAATTTATCCAGAATGTAGAAGCATTTAAATGTATAAACAAGAACGTTGAATTTAACTCCGCGCGATCATAAAAGAAATAGCATGGTATTTTGCATCCAAATGTGATCTTTTATCTTTTGATATCGCATCAGTCTCTTATCCGATGAATCTGATATAGTAAGAAATTTTCTCGCATTAAAGGTATTCGATAGGGAGATCGGATGCTGACAATGGGGTACAATACTCGTGGTTGTGGAAATTGGCTAACGTTACCCAGTCACCGTATAGCTATTTGTGGACCAATGCCAGCACCGCACCCGAACTAGTAGCTGGCCCGTCACGCCGTACGATGTATGTTACTGCTCTTTACTTCACAATGACCTGTATGACCTCTGTGGGCTTTGGAAACGTTGCAGCCGAAACCGACAATGAGAAGATTTTCACCATCTGTATGATGATCATAGCTGGTACGGATACCACTATAATCCTGAATCTAATTAAATATCCGTAAATCCAACTGATACATACAAAAGGAGTATCTACTATCTCGACCATCCGCGTTCGACAAAGTTAGATGAAAAAAAAAATACTCGCGAATATTTTGTGTAAAATAAATTTAAAGAATTTTTTTCTCTTTCCCTTTCTCTCCTTTCCTCAACCAGCCTTATTGTATGCTACGATCTTCGGTCATGTCACTACAATCATCCAACAAATGACGTCCGCTACCGCCAAGTATCACGATATGTTGAACAACGTGAGAGAATTTATGAAGTTACATGAAGTACCGAAAGCTCTTAGTGAGCGCGTCATGGATTACGTCGTCAGCACGTGGGCGATGACCAAAGGTTTGGATACGGACAAAGTTCTCAACTACTGCCCTAAAGACATGAAAGCAGACATTTGCGTGCATCTTAATCGGAAAGTCTTTAACGAACATCCCGCCTTCAGGTAAATCATACATCAAGACTTCATACTTTTAAATTTAATTTAAGAATTAATTGATAAATTATAAATATAATTAGATCCTTGTAAACTATAATAATTTGAATTTGCTATGTTTGTTTCCTATTTAGATTAGCGTCCGACGGTTGTCTGCGTGCCTTGGCGATGCATTTCACGATGTCACACAGCGCACCCGGCGATCTGCTCTATCATACAGGAGAATCTATCGATTCTCTGTGCTTCATCGTGACCGGCAGCCTCGAAGTCATACAGGATGACGAAGTAGTGGCAATATTGGGGAAAGGTGACGTTTTCGGCGACAGCTTTTGGACGAATCCAACGATCGGCCAGAGTGCAGCGAACGTTAGGGCGCTTACTTATTGCGATTTGCATACAATCAAGCGAGATCGGCTTCTGGAAGTGTTGGATTTTTATCAAGCTTTCGCAAACTCCTTTGCCAGAAACCTGATTCTAACTTACAACTTGAGTCATCGGGTGAGTCTCTCAATTATTGATTTTATTCGGAAATGTGTTCATTATAAATTGCTGAAAAGGGTCAAATCAAACATGACAAAATATAGGATTTTGATTGTTTATTAAACTTTTAATCTTACACTATGTAGTGCGATGATTTGCTTTGACTTTATAATGATAAATGATCAGAGTGTTTGCATATTTCTTTGCATGACGATTATACAGTCTTAGTTAACAAAAGCAATTTGTATGGCACACGGTTGTTCGTTTATAAATAATCAACATATGCAAAGAATGATAAATTAACAATTATAATAAACGACTCGTCAGGCACTAGACAATAGGCATCCAGGTCACGCAACAATTAACATTCTTTAATATCGTACCACTGGTTTCATAGATACACGTACACATGATGTAACAAAATTACACGACAAGTATGACTGAATGATAGAAAAAAATAATTGAAAGATATCAGGCCGTTATAAAAGGGAATCAAAGTCCTAATAATATATATAGATAAATAATTACAAATAAATAGTTGCACACAAGAAAAGTGTGGAATTCTCATTCATACAGATGAATGATTCACACAGCAAGCGTTTTTCATTCAAACTTCCACAACCATTTTCGTAATATAATTCGTTTCTGTAATGAGTTTTAATTGTTTCTCGCGCCGCTATCACGTGAATTCGTTTCAACTTTAAAGATATGCACTCGTGTAAAATAGGAGGACTCTTTCATATTGTAAACGTTACTATAGTTATATATAATTATGAGTTTTTTAATACGTTTCTCGTACCCGCATATATCCCATTACAACTATAAGAATCGATAACAATAATCATATAGATTTTATTCTGTGTAAAATCAATTGATCAATCTTAAATATCTGCAAATATCTTTACAACTAACATTCTTTCTCTCTTCCTTTCTTTTTCTTTTTCTTTTTCTCCTCAAAATTTCTTAAAAATCTCTGTATTTATCACAATTACTCTGGTTTTTCTCGAATTCCCTCACTGTGTAACTTACGACCGGATAATTCTAGCATGACCTTTGATGTCGGATCTTGATCCAACACAGATTTCATTTCGCGTATATCCTCTTCCACGTCTGGCACTGGACCGACTCCCCATACCTCGCAATGTTTGATTTTGAAGTTTTCCTTACCGCTAAGCTGTACATAATTTTGAAAAGTTGTGCACGACAAACTTGATTTGCCGGTGCCGTATTCGCAATCCAACCAGAGGCCGGGATAATTAAGCTGTCCCCCCATAAGCAGGCCATTAGGCATTGTTTGCTGATGGAGATTGAGATACTGATAGTGATTGTTGTAATTTGTCGATGAAAATGTCAGTATTTCCGGCTCAAGCTTGAATAGGAATGACGTTTGATTTCCTATAAAATTCGGTCCTAGTTTCCAGTTGTCCGAGGCGAAACCGCCAAATACATGGTCATCCATATCCTGAAGTATGATAATCGTAGCACCTTGCATCACGATTCTTCCTAACATGGTTGAAAACGATTCACCATGCACTTGACTCGAAAACAAAAATCGCCATTCATTACGTAACTCGTGTGGCAGACTCAAATTTAGGAACAGAACATCTCCCAAACCTAATATACTTGGAAAGTGTGGTATATTTTCCAAACCTTTGCACGACGGTAAAAGATTTAGATCGTTTATTCGCGCTCCTGTATTCTTATCGTTACCCTTCTTCTGAGAGATTAAATAGAGGTATTGGAAAACGTGCGATTGAATATTCTTGAATGTGGCAGCTGTTATAAACCAACTTTCCACTTGATCGACAGTCAATACATCCCCAAACTTGATCAGGTCCTTGCAGAGACTGAGAGAACGCATTCCTATGCGCCTAGTGTTGACCGTGCAGCCGATGCTACTCCAAGTGAGGTAATGCACATTGACAGAATTCTTTTGTAGTCGTAAGTAAGAGTTAATCGTTGCTTGAAGATACTGAAGGAACGAAATGGTAGGTATTTCATATTTTCGCTCTTCCTCCGAGAAACCATTGAAAATCAAATTGGTGCGTTCCTCGGGATTACCGCGTACGGCAAAGACATAGAGTCGACCAAAGTTCTCTCCGTTGATGATCGAAACCTTCTTTCCCGGATCATGACAGAGAAATCGGACTACAAATTGTAATAAATCATCATCCAAATGTATCGACCAATGTTTGAATATGTCCTCACGTTTGATGGAACCTGAACTGCGGGACATAGACTTAAAGAGGTTCTCCACTAGTGTCAATTCCTCTGTGGAAAGAATATTTGTTGATGAAGTAGAACGGCTTGATCCATGACCCATCTGTAATAATTATACAATGTTAATTGTTTCGCTCATTTCAAAAATTTTATTAATCAACTTTCATTACTTTAGTAAATAAAATCATTTTCTAAATATATATTAGTTCTATATGACTTATATAGAGGTGAAATTTCTCGCACTGTCAAACTGCACAATTTAATACAATTACTGACACCATATTACATAAAGGAAAGAGATAAGTAAAAGTTTTCCTCTCTTCCTATCATATTTTAGGATTTGTACAAGACATACTATACATTTAATCATTATTGACTTTGAAATCATAAAAAAAAGCAACTATACAATCAAGTCATTGATAAAATGATTGATAAAGAATATCACTCATCAAGAATTTTACTCACCTTTCATACGGGCGAGCGACCTTTCCCGACTTTCCATATACCGCCTGGTCGTCCACCCGGTCGCCTTGTCTACGTCGAGAAAGCAAGGACACCACCCTGCACCTTTCTTGGACTGCAGATCCGCTGCATCCGCAGATGTCGGCTAGTGTCAGTGGTGTTGGCACTATCGACGTCGTCAGCGGCGCGACGTTGCGTCACGTTTCGTCACGTCACGTCACGTCGTCGTGCGGACGACGGCGATCGTGCGGCCGACTTGGATAAACACATTCACCAGATGACTTGAAGGTTATGTGCAACGCGCGACCGAGCGAGCGCGAGCAGCTCGCTCTCCTACGAGCCGCTACGAGTGCGCACCTCTTATCGACTTCCATCACGACGCATGCGCCACCGACGCACAACGCGCGATGCATCGTCTATGCGCATTTTTCCTGTTCGTCGTTCACGAGTAATCAAAATTGACTGTGAAACTTGTCGAAATTATAATCGAAATAATAACGCGAAAGGGTTGTGAAGCGGACTAAGGAGTGGCTTTTAATGGCAAATTGCGGTCTGAGGCAAAAATTCGTGAGATCTCGGAAACCCAAAGAGAAAAAAAATACTTCTTTCTATCGTGGGTTTTTTTTTTTTTTTTTTTTTTTTGGAGACGGAACCTCTGAATTTTTCCACGAATAAGTGCAAGTAGCGAAACAAAATTGTAATTGCATTTAAATTCAATAATAATAGCATTTGTATAACATTAGTTTGAGTGCCTGGAGTACAAAGAGCCGGGACAGCGAAAACCGCGAAAATCCAACTGATTTATCCATCAACTGTCAGCTTATTACGAACACTGGCTGTTTCACTTGCAAATGCATTTGTTTATGGGCTTAAGTATTTTTCTCACACAAACTTATACATAGCGAGAGGAACATGCGCAAAAATTCAAAGATTCTCGAGAGATGATTGCCTCGCGGAAATACTTATCGCACAGTATATGTATATTGTATATAGAAAAAGGAATTGAAAAGGATAATGAAGGTAGATCGAGGTAGGACAAATTGAGAAGGGCAGGGCGAGGAAGACACGAAACGCGATTGGATGCGGTCTCGCTCAAAGGGAATAGGCGCGTTGCACGAGTTATGCAATTTTCACGCGGTAGATGCGAGATGAGATGACCTGGGGACCTATAATGCACAGAGCGCATTCGAGATGACGCGCATCCATAATACGTCAAAGTCGAAACACAGCGCCGGCTGTTTCCATGCAATTCTCGCACTGGCGCGAAAACGTTTGACTGTTAAGTATTGTTTGAAAGATTAGCTCTTTTGCCTCCTTCTATTTCTAAAAAGAAAAGATTGCTGAAAATTATGTCGAGTGTTGTAAAACATGACCATATCATGCAATAATGAATGTAGCATTTTTCATCAAGTAGAAAATTTATTATAATTATTATAAAACATATTTAGATATACCTCAAGTTAATAATCATTAATTAACATTTTATATTAATATTATAATTTTCTACTCAATAATATTAATGTATGTAATACACGTTATTGAATGAGAAATAACATTGGTGTTACTGTTAATTGGATCTAACATATCTATATGTAAAATATATTAAAATATAAAATAATATGTGTATATATCAATTTTTTAATATATAATATATATACCGTTTTTAATAAAAATTACAATTATCAAATATTTTAAGCCTTTATGTATCTTTTTTATTTAACTATCTACTTAAGAAGGATATTTAGTTTAAGAAGAATATATTTATTATGCGTATCATATTAATGAGGCTGAATTATATGCGTAGCTCATCTTTCGAAAAGTTGCCGATGTCCGTCGAGAAAAGGAGTTGGCCGAAAGGAGAAAAAATGAACCGCAATTGGATCAAGCTCAGGATCATCTGGTTCGCAAGATCTTCTCGAGGTAGGAAATACTCTTGCTTAATTATCAAATACGATCAAATGTATTTGGTTTGACATTACTGCAATTGTTCATTTTTGGAAGTAAATATGTGAATTATAAGGAATCCATTTCGAGAAATCAAGAAATGAAAGAAATGAAGTAAAATAAAAAAAAAATTACGATTATCTTTAAATCAGTCCTTAATATAATATACATATATATTATTAAAATTAAAAATTTAATTTCACGGAATGGATTTCTGATGAGAAAATTACAATTGTTGCAAGCATTAGTTTGTAGTTGACGACTTCCGGTTGCCACCAATTAAATCGTTCGAAAGTATATGCTTCGACTGGTTTTGACAATCGTAAAAAAAGAACTTTATCGAAGCATGCGAGAGAGCGCAATTTACACTCAAATTTCTTTCATATGACGACTAGATATAAGTGAATGTGATTTCCCATGTGATATAGACCATAAATTTCTGCATATTAATTCATAATATTCTCACATATAGAACATGTGCACGCGTACAACGATACACGATTTTTTTTATAATGTAATGTAATAATTAAATTTTAAATTTTTTTCACGCGCTATTATTAAAGATAAAATAAGTACAATTTGATTTGAAATAATTCTATGTACTAATTAGTCTATATATAAATAATGTACGTATAAAAATAACTACGTAAGAAAAATGACATATTATTAAAATAACAATTAAAGAATTCAAGATATAACAATTAAAGAATACAAGAAAATTGTAAAATCACGTTTATCAAAACTTACTTAAAAGTACTCAAGTTTATTATTACATAATGGTATAACAGATGGTTTTAAAAGTTTTACATCTTTATGCGCGTGCACATGCAGTATTTTGCGTGACACGTGCGAGAGAGAGAGAGAGAGAGAGAGAGAGAGAGAGAAATGAAAAAGAAAAGAACGAGAGAAATAAAGAATGATAAGAGGATTTATTGCGGATTTTTGTATCTTCCGTTGCTGTTGCTGTTGCTGAATGTGACTGTTGATCGTGTTGCTTGGCTGGCCTGTCCTTTCCGTAAAGGTTCAAGAGTGAAGGAGAAAGCCAGATCGGTATGTCCAGGACCGTGAGTGGACGGTCTCATCAGGATTCCGACGAGGAGCTCACCGTGAACGTCCTGCCACCCTGGCCGAGTTTTAGGCAATTTCATTATTTTTCTTACATATTTATTTCTTCTCTAATTCTTTTTTGCCGTTTTCTCCTCGCTACACGTCTTATTATTATTATTATTATTGTTGTTATTATTATTAAATCGTTATCTTTTATCATTCAACTTATATTTGTTACCATTAATTGCCGTCGTTATGACCGTTTTATTAATACCCATCGCGATGTACTGTATATTACGTTATCGGAATACCTGTTTCAATATTCGTGTACATGTGTATATATGTAATATTCATGAATATATACTGTATACCACGGCAGCGCGCGTGATGCACGTGTCTCCGCGGGTTAATCCCACATTTGCATTCTGATGATTTTGAGTTTCAATTAAATGTCTTATTGGGTACATTTGATGTCTAAGTCAATATTATTTGTCAACTTTAAAAGTTTGAAATAAAATATATATCTTTTTAAACAGAATAGAATTCTTTAGAGAAAAAGAATTTTTCTATAACATGTATCCAACGGAATAGAACTCTTTATAAACGATTTACAATTAAAGAAAAATTAATTTTTTATAATTTTAACAATGATCTTGCAAATAAGGGATTAAACTGCATCATCTCTTAAAACAAAGGTAACAACGTGCAGAATGTTGTTGTGCAGCATTGACAAATTTAACTTCATCTTTGACCACAAGCTGTCGAAATCTGATTTTTTATAATAAATAAAATAAGTGCTTAAATATAAATCATTTTTAAATGGACAACTTTTAAAAGAGCTTTTAATTGTTTTGATCAATACATTTCGAAAAATTTAACGTTGATATCCAAAAGGAGAAACATTAAGAAAGTTAAAAAAGTTCTCCTTGAAACGATATCGATTTCAGATTGGTTTAAGATTTTCCTTTGATATAAAATTTGTCACTGTCATTCAAAAACACGCTGCACACATGCAGGTATTTTCCTAAATCCATTTGACGCGATAAATATCGTAATCCGTCTCGTAATGTGCCAGCCGGAAGATATCACGTACGTGCACTTGCTGTATAACACACGCTTAAATTGTGAATAATAATAAATTTTCATCGCACGTCTACGTTGAAACACGAGCAAATCGAGAATGGCAGCTGCCACGAACATTTGTCTTCATCAGATGCACTTGCGTTATATATTTCGTATTATGTTTTTGATAAAATATATAAAATCAATACGTTTTTTTCAAAATATTGTAATGCCATTGATATGATTAATTATTATGTTCCACTAATATTTATTAAACTTAATAAAGGACAAACTAGAAATGGGACTATTTGACAAAAATGTATAGTATTGATATAATGAGGTAGTATTTAGAGATCATTAAAAGAATGTGAATATTTTGCTAAATATTTTGCATTGGTAAAATACTTCGGTTTGTTCGTTCTTCCAGCAGCATTTTCACGAGACGTACATTTCATTTGCGGTATTGTATCGTACTATTATTTTAACGATTATACTGCAGTTTTTAAACGAATGCTAGAGTGCTGTAAGATATATGGCTTTACAAGGTCATGCGCATCTTTTCGCATAATCATACATCAATGTATGTAATATACATTTTATAATTAAAAGCCAGAGTCACATAGCATAAATTGCAGGATTTCGTACAGTTTTTATTCCCTCCGGTATACAGCTTTGCAACTTCATCTGCTAGCTTTTATTTTCAGCGCTAGAGTGAAATAACGTAGTCACAACGGCGATACAACTCCGAATCCTTACAAGGTTTGTTAATAAAAAACAATCATCTGAATCGTACAATTTGAGATATTTAATAAAATTGATATTAGTATATATATTATACATATATATGTATATATATACATATATATATATAATACTTTTAAAGCAAATAATAATGTACCTATATATGTAATTAAAGTCTGTGAATGTAATTAGTCGCGCATAAAATTGTGTAAATTCGTAGTGCTGTTGGCGAGATGAAAAACTGCCGAAATCCTGATATATATATATATATATTTAACATGTTTGATCTTCTTTTTTATGCAAAGTGAAGTGCATGTGACGAACACACACACTCTAGTATTCAAATTTCTCTTTATCTCCTATATATAGTTAAATATCTCTATGAAAGTGCATAATATGTACGTACGAACATATACAAATACTACTGTCATGCAGCTGCCCGAAAAATTATTGGAATGCCAGAGAAGAAACTAATAAATATCACGCCTCATTTACGACTTACAGCTACAATATTCTGCTTTTTTTTAAATTGCTATTATAATAATCAACGATTTTATACATATATGTATATATATATAATATATTTGTTTTTTCGCAACTGCCTGATTTACACGCAATATGCTTCCATCGCTCTAATTATTCCTCCCGAATTATTACTTAATAGTTTTACGCTACTTTTCTTTGTAGCATAATTAATTATTTATTCTCACTACTCTTACAATAATTTTTATAATGATTATTATTACTACGGTTAAAAAACATTTTTATAGTTCAATGATAGACGTCTTCCGACGATAAATTTATATGCATGATAAAACTGAGATATTCTTTAGGGGTAATAATAATAAAATTAATTTTTATTTTTTATTATTATTACCCCAACATACGTTAACAAATTGTGTAATAATATTTATTTAATCGGGAGATTTTTTAATCGCCCTTATCAATTCGAATGCTTGATGATATTTTAATACAAATTGCATATATATATATTAAAATTTGGCAAAAGGATTTTTTTATACCTACACAAATTATTTAATATTTTCGATGATTATTTATGTAATTGGAACATTAATTCGGTTAATATTATTAAAATAGTATTATAGTAACTATTAATATATTAATGTGCTTTTGATAAAAGGCAATAAAAATTGTATTGTATATAAATCGTTGATTGATTAATTTTTTAAAGGAACGAGCGTGCTTTTACACACGCAAGACGATTTTAATAGCATTTTTCACTGCCTACGCGAATCTTATTTCACAAAGGCGCTGTGACAGCATTATTATTTTATAACATATAACTATTCACCGCGTTTAATATGTTCGACAAAGTGGCATTCCTAAAGTTTGTCTGGCAATTTTTCATCCCGATGTCATTATTGTCTTAAAAGATATAATATACCAAAAAGGATAAACGTTGGTCAACACTAGTTGGTGTTGTAATATTTTCTTTGAAAAATGAACAAAAAATAAAATAATTTTGATATTTTTCGGTAATTTACGTTATTATTGTTATAAATTTTATGAATTTATTAGTTTATTATTTACATTAATGGATTTGATATTTTAGTTTAGTATTTTATGTGTAAAATCCGCGTTCATATGCAGTTATTCAAAATTGTTGATAGAATATCTACTTAAAGATATCATATTGTACTAACAATAAGATTTTTGTCAAGAAACATTTTATGAATTCAGGTACTCTCAACTTGAATCAGCAATATCTCTGTTTAGTTATTGCCAAAAATCAATTAAAGTTCATAAAAAATACATGACCTTCTAAAAAGTTGTTTTAAAGAACGTATTAAATAGTATATATTAATGATTAAATTGAATTAAACAGTTGTAGCACATAAAAGATTTGTATAATTTAAACATAAAGGTAATTATGTTAAATTGGTAATTCGAACGTTATTCGTAGTACAAAAATATGTCCTAATTGTACAAAATTATTCGCCTTCTTTGTGATAATCTTTATACGATAAATTAACCGAAGTTTTCACCATCGGTGTTCACCAACGTTCTCTTTCCATATGTTTTGCCAACTCGTCCACTACCGTCGTGGATCCCGTAGGCACATCGCACCATAAGTCGCTCGATCGCCAATCAACCGAGGCTACTTTCCTGTTTCTAGCTCTCGATAGTAGGCGGCTATAATCTACGCTACGATGATAACCTGATTAGCTTGGCCTCGAACTAGTTCGGAGATGCACCGTAGATACAATCGGACCGGAAATAAGAAAACGAAGCTCAATGGAGTTATTATAGAAAATCAAGTTTTTCACGTGGAAATGGTCTTTTGTCCAGCACCCTTTCACTTTTGCCCCTCTATGCATTTGTACTTTGCTGCCCTGGTCCAAATCTAGGGAAAACCAGCCTTTATCATATATTCTCCTTCGTATATAAATATATTTTGTAAGTCGCTTATTCACTAGAAAATAAAGGCGAATTTGTTTCTCTATCTATTTCATATAGATTCCGCCGCGAAAGACAACACACTGCCGATGTAGAAAAAGGCGACGGTAAAGATGTCAAGGATGGCGAAACATCGCAAGCTAAGAAGTTATCTACTACCGAAGAAGGTGGAACAACTGTCGCGAAAACGCGACCTGGCAAATGGGGGCGTTTATTAGGTAAAATTAAAAATAAAGTTTTATTAATCTTATTTGTATGTAATTAAATTAATTAAATCAATGAGATACACAATGCACTATCGAAGAAAGAAATTAAAATCATATAATTATTGAGAAATTTATGCAAACGCTTATAATGTTATAGGTAGTTCAAGTTTGGACACTGGTAGCGAATCGGGTACGGCTGCCGATGCATTTAAGCGATCTCTTAGCGCAAGAGACTCACGCCCGAGTTCCAGCGCCGGCACCAACAAAGTCTTCCCAAAGCTAGGCAAATTGGGAGAGCGCACAATCGAAGAGAGCGGTGATAATGTCGAAAATCAGAAAGTTGCTCAGCAACAGCAGGTACCGCAACAACAAACTCTTAGCGTGGACTCAAAGCAGTTGCAGCTGCGACGTCTAGAGAGCTACGATGGTGGTCTGATTACTCAGCAACCAAGTCACGAGAGGGAGATTCTTGCGGCAGTATTGGAAGTGAAAGTCGATTTAAAATTAGAAGTACAAAGGGTAAATCAGCGGCTAGCCAAAATTGAAGACATGCTACAGGCACTGACGAACAAATTGCCGGCCGCCGGAACATCATCGTCAAGTGGTACTAATGGCAGTTCGCAGCAACAGAAGATTCCGAGCTTTACTCTGAGCGGTGTTCAGAGTCAGTCACCCGTCACCCCGAGCGCAATAACATTAGTTCAGTCCGCGACTCAGACTACCGAGTATAGACCATCGATTGCTACTACATCGACATCCACGACACCGAGCGAAGGATATCGGGAACAGTCGACGGCGACAGAGCGAATATCAAAGAGCAGTCAGGAGCACCACCATCATCATCATCATCACCATCAATCATCGTCATCGCGGGATGTCAGTAAGGAGCTGTTAGAGCGACTTGCGCAGGCTTCCACGTCGCGCGGTGACGATTCGAATGCCCTGGGACCGCTTATCCTGCGAAAGCGACGCAGCAAATCGCGCAACAAAGGTGCGGCACCGCTCGCTCCTCTTGCCACGCAGCCAATGAGTCCATCAGAGGCCACGGAAACCACGCAGATGCTCGAGTGTACCGATGATCGGGATTCAAGCAGTGGACCGACTGACAGGACTGTCACAGACAGACCCGCCGAAAGACCCGACCGTAAAAGACCACCGCCCAGACCGAGGGAGTATTTGTGAAAGTTCTTTTCGCGCGTCGATTATTTCTTTTCTTCCTCTCCTCGAGACAATCTACCGCGACGCGATCAAAAAACTTCATTATACAATACGCTTGGTAGTTTAGCCTTTCTTAAGAACATGAGTCCGCTGTATGATAACGCGCTCATAGTTATCTTATTCTAAAACGTTCATGTATGTACATCGAACAATAGTTATTGTTTCGTTGCTCTCTCGTTTGTACATTTGCATGGACAATAGCATGTTACATAGTTCATCGTTTTGGTACAACTGGAAGATCTAAATTGTTGGCCACTTTACGCGCATGCCTGAACTTCGTCGATTACACGATTGAGTATTGAGTGTGAGTAAGTTTATTCTGCTTCTCCCGAACAGCGAATATTGCTATTAACGAATATACTGTGTCGATAATTATGTTTATATATCGACTCTGATAATATAGACGTAATACGTATTTATAAAGAGAAGAGTTTCGTTAATCGCTCTTCAAGATGAATGGAGGAAAAAATGAAGCAAATCAAGATTTTACCTCAAGCCGACGAAACGCCAGCGTAATTCTGGTTAAAAGCGGCATAATTAATGAGAAAACGAGGTAAAGAAATGCATCTTAAGTACGAATTATTCACTAGCGACGGCTTCTTCGAGACATATTGAAACTCTCCGAGGGAGTGTATCCACCCCCTATAAACACATACACATATACACACGTAGGTAGATATAGATTCACATGCATCGTATAGTGAATTTCACTGTAGAGTTTCATGGCGATTACGCTACATTTTTAAACCTCTTTCCGGCCACAAGAACGGTCACGTCGACACCAAGCCAAATTGTCTCTCTTAAAGAGGCAGCGTGGCATTTTGTAATTATTAAGCCAAGCATGTGATTCGTGATATAACTTGTAATGGTGGTGTCTAACCAGATTGTGAAGGTTGTATAGTCGAAACCGACCAAGTATATTAATCTTCAATAAATATCATAAAATGTTTAGGATCGAGAACATTGAGAATATGTTACAAAAATATAAAGTAAAAGCTAATATAGTACAATAAAATAATTAGTCTTACATACAAAATGGAATAATTAAAATTATTCCTTTCAAAAATATTTCACAGCTTTTTTTATTAAATAGTAAAGTAGTAATATAAAAAAGTAACAAAATTTTAGTATCATAGATTTCATGATACTAAAATGTATAGTACTTGTTGAAAGCTAAACAGGTAAATAATTCTTTTGGGGCTCAAATAATTAATAGAGATATAACGATTTCTGATCTTTTCTGAAAAATAGAAACATTTCTTAAATAAGTTTTTTCTTTATAATAGAACTTCAAACAAATTATTTTTAGTAGTTTACTATCTCAAATACACACATTTATATTGCTTGCCCTTATTCTTTATTGGTTCTGCAGGTTTAAGATTCTGCACGAGTAAGTTGAATTATTTAAAAAAGACAACTGGTTAAATGAAGACATGTATTTTTTTTTAAATATATTTCCTATAGACAAACAGAATATGTATTGCAATAGTAAAGGTACCTGAATGTAAACTCGGAGGCTTTATTGCGTCGATTTAATTTCCTGTAGAGGGAAATTGATCAACGATTTTCATGTGTGGTTTGGGCACTATACCGACAGATAGAGAAATTTTATCTTGATTGAAAAACATTTAGAAGCCTTCATTTTAAATATACATTTTACATATATTTTTCTTTTGACTTTAAATGCATTGAACAATGCTATCGAAGTGCTGAATAATTATAGAGCAGAAGAAAGTGAGAGCTAAATTGAGTAGAACTCAAAAGATCTCATCGTACTCGACAAATAGTCAATGGAATTGCAAATGTGATCGTTCTATCTAAGATGGAACTGTCGACACAATCTCTGTTGCATATTGCAAGTAAAACTTAAGCAGTTTCGATTGAAACCGTAATTTAAAAGTTTTAAATCAATTTCTCGCATAGTCTAATTATTTTTGTTATATCTTTTAATTAAAAATTTTATCATTGTTATTGATTACAATTCATATTATATTGAATCATAAATTGTGTAAATATTTTTTATAACATTTTATGTTGTTTTTTCACTTAATTATTTATTTGATAATTTAATGATATTACATTTCACACGAATGATTATAAAGCAATGAAAAAGTGTGATTTAACTTCGAAAATTTGCTCTTCAAGTTGATGAAGATGTTAATTCGTCAAGAGAAGTTACTCGTACTGATAGTATTGTTACGCAGGGATGGCGCTACGTTCACAAATTCGTATGATATACATACGAAGCCAAAACAGCAATATTAGATGTATATATCTTGTAATATGACATGTATATATATTTGCATAATCATTGACCATACAGACGTGAAGAGGCGAGCTGCTGCTGCTACTGCTATAGACGAGAATGGCGTCTTTGCTAATAAAACAAGCTGACAATCAATCTTTTGCAAATATTTATTATATTCAGCCTGAATTATCGTATAATTATATACGATTTTGAATGACTTGCCATTGCTATTTGTGAAGAAGGGAAGAAACAATCAACTTGTTTCAATAACGTGCTATTTTTTAGTTTTAATCGCCTCTTTGATTTCATCTTTTTATAGTTATGCAATTGTAAGAAATTAATATATTTTTCTATATTCAATCAAGAGCCGTGAAGAGCAAAGGCACAATTCTCATCACAGAAAACATTTGATCAAAGCGAAAGTATAAACGCAAATACGTGCACACACGTAAAATACGCATACACATATATTTGCGCATGTACATATTTATATACATATATAAATATAATAAGAGACAAAGAATATATATATAAATAGAGAATATATAATTTCATGTTATGAAAGAAAAATTATCGAAAAATCGAAAACTTTGTTAAATAGATTTAGAGACAGAAACGATAATAGCTGGCTCTATCATAGTTTATATACTTATACGCAAAGAAAAAGATTTAACACTGTTGAAATTGTAGCGATTAAGCCAATTAAACGATTAAGTCTATCGCTCATCAATTATATTGAAATGTGGTACACTGAAATTTTTTATGCATTAATCATATCGCGCGGGCCGTTAAACGCTGAAATGCTCGACTTTTGCAATTTCCACTCATTTTCGTCAACAATAGAACTACATCTATATAAATTTAGTTTACAACATATGGAATTATCATTCGTACGTTTCCATCTAAAATATATTTGAACCTATTTTGAACAGCATTGATCGAAACTTGTATAATTAAATAAAACTCACTCATATTGTGAAGTCAATTGAACTTAATAATTTTAAAATATTTAGCATTGAGAATATTTTAATTTTCGATAAAATATAACTTATTATAAATATAATCACACTTATTATCGAAGTCAAATCTTTTGGCGCTTTTTTTATCCTTAAATATCAGAACTACAAAATAAAAGTTTTTAATGTAATTTTCAAAAATAATTTCTATTATAACATCATAAAACAAAAAAGAAGAAATGAACATTATTTTTAAAATTAAGTTAATAATTTTGTGAAGCCGCTTTTAGAATATCATTTTTATCCAATTTGATTTTTTTACACCATATTTATAGTTAAATTAAATTGAAAAATTAAGCAATAACACGCGTGTTTTACAAAACCGGATTATGTCATAAGATCCGAAAGATGTGTTGCAAAAAAATAGAGCCATAGTTAATATCTCTGCAATCCGTACAACAAAATGAAAGAAACTGCGAAAATGAAAATCTAATTTGTTACTTACAACTTTTCTGCACAATAATGAATAACATAAAATATTTATATAAGATGGAAATGAATGCGATGTAAATCTGAACGATAATTCTGCACTCCATTGCTTAAAAATTGTTCACCGATCGTAATGCCAGTTTTGTGTTTGAGGATTATAATTTCTATTTGTTATAAGGTACGACAAAATATACTTACGATCCAACGAACTCTAAATAGTAACAATATTTCATTTATATAAGATTAACTTGATAACGTGATATAGCGAAGTAAGAGGAAAGGTATATAGAATTTTGATTAATACAAATGCGAAAGTTTGTATTTATTATCCAATTATTCCGTGGTATTTACGCACCAACTTTAACGAACCAGTATCACTTTCGACAGATTAGAGAAGATAATTTTGATTAGCTTCGAAAACTATTATATCCTCGTATAACACATAACATGTGTTATACGAGGATATAATAGTTTTCGTAAGTGATAATACGATAAAACTTAAAAAAAAAAACAAGAAAGGAATTTTTAAATAAAAAATACTAACTGAAAGAATGAAACAAATATAATACAATTATAAAACGTAGAAATATTATGAATAGCATCAATCATTGATTAGACTCTTAACATTTTAATTCGATTGTTGAACTAAAATTTTTGTTATCTTCTCTTTCATCGAAGCTAATTGAACCATCTACTACATCTTTAATAAGACATGTGATACTGTAGCTTTAGACAAATACTAGATATATACAATATAAAATATACAATAGTGTAATCTATATTTCTCAAAGAAAGAATATGAAATTAGATAAAGAATTGCTCGTATTCGAATATTGCGCAGTTTTGTAAAAAAAAGTCATGAGAGGAAAGCAAAAACGAGCGTAAGAATAAACGTGCCCGCGTGTAAAAAGAAATAGATCTCTCCGTTCACGATCTGTCTAAATTGCTTTAATATTTCACTGTCATCGTTTGGTTGCAATTTTTACCTATTGCAAAAACTTTTGCGAAAACTTCGAGGCTGTGCGATGAATTTTTCTTTTCTTTATCTTTTAATTTGAAAAGTCATCATACAGAAAAAAATGTAACATAGAAAATACGTTTAGAATATTTGAAAATATTTAAAGACGGTCATTTTTCAATAAAAATATATTACGTGATTTAAATTGTGTAATTGGGCAGGTCGTTATTGGATATAAACAAGACAGTATAAATGCAATACGATTTTACGATTTTTTACATCAGCTATACTTTGCAATAATACGAACAATTGC